TTCCCTTTCCTATTGGAATGTCTTTTTCCTATTTAGTTAGATTAAAAATACGATCCTAAGAGTAGAATCTGTGATTAGCCCTGTTCTGGTTCTTGCACTGTGCAGCCAGCTTTACTGGAGCACGTGGTGTTAACTCATCTCCCATCCCACAGGGTTCTGCTCTGGAGGTACACTTCAATTCCCACTGTTGTTGAAGAGTCAGGAAAGAAGAAGGGCAAAAGCATTTCACTTCTGTGCTTGGAAGGTTTGCTGCGGATCTTCAACACAGTGCAGCAGCGGTATGCTGCCAGGATCCCACAGTTTCTACAAGCCCTGGGTAGGCACATGGTACAATTCAGCTCTGGTTTCTAGCCTCTGTGTTCCAGCCCATGTGTGGGCACTTAGGGGGTCTGGTCCTTGTTGCTCAGTAACAAGGTGGGCTTAGCATTGATTTTTACACCAGAGGCAAGTTCCAGAGACATCCTTCCCTGCTTTTATAGCACTCTCAGCAGAGGATAGTCGGGGTCTGATAGAGCACTTGTCTATTTGAAGCCTGCCTTTAACATAATTTTGTGCTCACACAGTTTTGCAGTCTGTATTCCTCCTCTAGCTGTGAGCAGCTGCAGTCTTTCCCACTGTTGGGAATAAATCCTGTATTCTCCTCTTGGCATTTAGCTTTACTCTGCACCTCTCTGTCTCTGCCAGATATTACTGATGGTGACGCAGAAGAAACGGATATTAATGTCACGGAGAAAGCTGCCTTCCAGATCCGACAGTTTCAGGTAAGTATCACTGTGTGCTGCAAGTGTTCCAAAGCACTAGGAATTCTGGCAGAAAATGCTGCTAGCTCTCTGCTGCTTCACTACAGGATTGACTATGCAATAGCAACTGTGACACTGATTCACTGGCAGTTCAGAAAAGTTTCTGATCCCTAAGGAAAGCTTTCCCAGGGTACTGTGCAGAGCTGGATGAAGTGCACGTGTATGTACAGACCTACAGGGTCTTTCAGTGCGGCATGAACTTACCTGAGTATTGTAAAAGCCACACCGAATCATGTGCGGGCCTCTTTGTAAGCACTCATAACAAAAACCAACACCTGCTCTTTAAGAGTCCTCTTTTTATTTTCTTTGTCATTTTCCTTGTTGCTGGTTCCTTTATCTGCTGCAGCTTCTGGTTATTTCCTTCCTAAAATGGCCCTGCAACAAGCATGCACACTCAGGGACTTTCTTTTCTTCCTTCCCATGATCAGAGGTCCTTGGTGAACCAGTTCAGCAGTGCTGAAGATGACTTCAATTCCAGGGAAACACAGTTACTCATCACAGTTCTTTCCACTTTGTCCAAACTCCTGGATCCAGCCTCTCAGCAGGTACTTCACAGCCTTTATGGGGTGGCAGGGATGGGTGTCTTACCCATAGGGTTGTGAAGATGATTATCTGATTGGGTTGACATCTGAGGGCTCTGGTGTGTCTGAGTGTGTTCTGCCTTCTGCAGACCAGGATGTGTCAAAGGGACGGTTTTGTCACAGTGTCAAGCATTCTCCTCTCACACACCTGCAAGGGCAGTTAAGAACAAGTTGTCTTCCCACCCTGCTCCTGCACGTTCTGATCCTGCATTTGGGCACCTGGAGGCTGAATGACTTGTTCACCCGAGCAGGGGCTCCTAAAAGAGCCTAGCTGTGGAATGGCTTTCACATGAGAATAGAGCCAAAAAAGGCCAGCAGACTTGTGACCAATCCAAACTGGCCAAGTGCCTAATTCCTTCCATGCAAGGAGGCATTTTCCCCAAGTGCTCCAATTTTATAAGCTAGGGACTGCACTAAAAGTGTGCCAGAAGTCTGGACTCGTCCTTTACCTTAAATTAAATGGAGCTGTTACTCTGTCCAAGGGAATGTATAGCCATTCCTCTGTCCTGGATCTCAGTTTTTCACTTGTTAAGAAGGGAAGTGTGCGTTCTAGAACCTCACAGAGCACAGCCAGGTGCCTTGCTGTCAGAAGGGGACTTTGTTTTTGCCCTTTGCTGTCATTCATCGTCTGGAATTTTTATCATTGTTAGTAGTAGTAGTTGTGTGCTTTGATTTCTGTTTCGAAGCCATGCTGTCTTTTCTCCCCTTATACAGTTCCTTCAGTTCCTGACCTGGACGGTCAAAGTTTGCAAAGAAAATGCTCTTGGTAAGTAAACTTCGGGGAGCATGTTGAGATGTGACGTGACAGGTCTGATATTAGACCCTTGGATGCTCTGCTGTTGTCTGTCCCGTGCTTACCTCTCCATTACAGCCACATTCCGGTCCCACTCTGTGGCAGATCGCCATGACATTGTAGTTGTCAGTTTGAGGACTAGGGAAGAAACTCCATCTCTAGAAATATTAGCATTGCCACAGAAAGAGAAGCCGCTTACTTACTTGACTTCTTGCTTGTTATTTAGCACATCAGTTCCTCAAATAAATCTGGATTTATACTCTGGAAAGATATTCTTGGTCTTGCCAGAGTTTGTATTGCACATCCTCGGTGCTTCCGATGGTCATTTTTCTATGAGCTCAGGGCTCCAGTGTGCCATGCTTCCCCTTGCAGTATTGTATGGGATGCCCAATGTCATAAGCTCTGCTTTTGCAACTGCGGTGTTTTGATAGGATTTTCACCTACTGCGTGTTGTTTCTGGGAATGCAGACTGCTAAATCCATACTGAATCCGAGACTTTCCCTCACTGGATGTCTGGTGTTCCTAAATATAGCTAGGGGAGCTCTGCACCTGGTGTTGTTTTCTTTTCCCTTCCCCACAGAGGATATCTCTTGCTGCAAGGGTTTGCTGTCTCTGCTCTTCAGCCTCCATGCTCTGTACAAGAGTCCTGTCAGTCTGCTGCGTGAACTCGCCCAAGACATCCACGCTTGCTTGGGAGACATAGACCAGGTATGATGCTGAAGCAGCCTAACTCTTCGTCACTTTGTGCCGTCAGGGAAAAACTGAGTGCATCTCTGGTGCAAACTATGTGACAGCAGCTAAAGTTTTACTCACCAGAATTTGCTTTCTGTCCTCCGACCAGGACATAGAAGTGGAGAGTCGGTTGCATTTTGCCATAGTGAATGCCAAGACCGCAGCCCCTACTGTCTGTGTGAGTCAAAACAGCATGTGTGGAACAACCTGTAGTGTCCAGGGCTACTCTGCTACAAGCAGCTGGTAGATTCCTGTTGTGCCAAACTCCTCCAAGAACCTGCTTTGTTATTGGTGTTTCTGTCTTAGCTGCTGATTCTGGGTCAGGCAGATAAGGTCCTTGAAGAGGTGGATTGGCTTATCAAGAAACTCGCCAGTCTGGGATCAGACACATCAGGTAATAAAAGTGGTCCATTTGTTAGTGTTAGACCTTTGTCAAAACCATATGAAGATAGAGAACAAGAAGATATTTGGGGATTTTCAGGTAACATCTGAGGGCAGGTTAAACCCTTCCTTGAGCTGGCTTGACGCAAACAATGCAAGAGAAAGTGTTGCCACAGAAGCCCTTCAGCGATTGTTTTCCCTGTGCCACACTGGTGCTTTGTGCACCAGAGGCAAAGGTGGTCTTTTGTGCCTCCCACCTGCATAATTGGATTCATTAGACACACATTCACCAGGTATTCACCTCTTTCTTTCTTCTAGAAAACTCTTCTCAGGCATCAAACCAAACCCAGGCTCTGGAGAAAGGTGTAATTCTGCAGCTGGGAACTCTGCTGACAGTTTATCATGAGCTGGTACAGACAGCACTCCCTGCGGGTAGCTGTGTGGACACACTGCTGAGAAGCCTCAGCAAGACCTACGCAATTCTCACCTACCTCATCAAACATGTGAGTGCTGCTCCAACAGTGAGCTGGCTGGATCTAAAAACATTTTACCTGCCTACTACACCAGCTCGCTGTGACCCCTGGCAGCAGCTAAGCTTGGGACTGGCCGTTGATCCCTTGAAGGAGTTGAGTTGAGCTTTCATGCTCTCTATTTCGTGACCTTTCTGCAGCAGTGATAGGTGTGCTAGTGGAGATAAAGGGAAGCTTCTCTCTAGCTGCATTTTCTGTGTGTGGCTTGGAGTGGCACTTCCCAGTGTTCCTCGGCACACAGCTGCGTGCTGCAGTGAATGACAGGAGCGATGTTCTCACGGTGCTCTGCAATCCTGCCCGTGCCACTGGTTCACAGCTAAGGCCTGGAGTATCGAACATGAGGGAACCAGGCCCTGAGAACAGGCCAGTGGAGTTAGTTTGAGACAAGGTGGTGAATACCCCAGAGCTCCCTCACAGCTCTGGAATGCCCATGTGGCATTTGGGATATAACAAGCCACTGGGAGGATAGTTCTTGCAAATCCTTCCCTCCCTGCTGTGCCACTGGATGGCCTCTTTGAGCCCTGCCTAGAAGTATGGGTTGCAGGATAGGAACAGCGTGCCTAGAAGAAACTCTCTTATGTTTCCTTGCAGTATATCCAAGCTTGCCGCAGCACCTCGAATACGATTCCAGGAAGGCTGGAAAAGCTGGTGAGTGTGAGCAAATTGCTGGAGGAAATGGCTTGTTGCCTTGGGAGTGTAACACCAACCTCTTTGCTTCTTTGCAGGTGAAGCTCTCAGGTTCCCATCTGACGCCACAGTGTTACTCATTCATTACTTATGTACAGGTAAGGCAAACTGTGGCAAAAAGTTAGTCTTATCTGATGCCAGGTAGTTTATCAGCTGGAGTACACAGGCACCTTTGGGGATTATTAATCTTCTCGAGTTTCTTAGAGTTCAAGCTTCACTATGTCAAATAACACTGTAAGACATTTCAGTGCCATTGGGACCAAGCATGCCGCTTTCTGCTCGAGCAGGGAAGGACGAGTGCCTGGGAAGCTGGTTTTTAGTTGTTTTTTTCCCCTCTGTTCATGTGGGGGGTTTTGGAGGAGATAAATACTGTCATTAACCACAATGGCAAATAATGGTCAAGGACAGTGCAGTCAGCACAGTGTAAAGGAACATGGGTGCCAAGTGCTGAAGATGAAGTTTGGTTGTTTGGAGAGGAATTGGGTGCTTGAGTGAGGACCGACAGGTATTGCAGAACTGACATGGCATATTGGGGAAGGTTTAGTGGTGCGCAGAGCTGCTGCTCCTGGGGACACATACGTATTTCTGAATGTGTGTATTTGAAATCAGTTTTTCTTTCCTTCATTTTTGAGATTGCTACCAATTCCATCCTTCTTGGATCACTACCTTTCTAACATCTAGCTTGTAATGCTGTCAGCTGGCCAGAGCAAAGACTTCTCTGGCCTTACTTGGCCTTTCTTCCCTGCTTAACATCTAATGCCACATCTTTTGGTATCCTTGTTCAGAACATTCACAGTGACAGCTTAAGCTTTGCCGAAGAGAAGAAAAAGAAGAAGAAAGAGGATGAAGTTGCTGCAGTCTCCACGGTCATGGTAAGACTGACTCACCCTATTAGAACATGGGACATGAGCTGCATATGAACTTGTGATCATTCCTCAAGGTTTGTGTTACCTGGTGGCTTCACCCCACCTGCAGTTCTGCATCCAGCTCTGGGCCCCCAACATCAGAAGGACATGAACAAGTTGGAGCAAGGCCAGAGGAGACCAGGAAGATGCTCCTATGGCTGGAGCACCTCTGCTGTGGGGACAGGCTGAGAGAGTTGGGCTTATTCAGCCTGGAGAAGAGAAGGCTCCGGGGAGACCTTATAGCACCTTCCAGTGCCTGAAGGGACTACAGGAAAGATAGGGAGGGGGGCTCTGTACAAGAACAGGTAGTGACAGGACAAGGGGGTAACGGGTTTAAACAGGAAGAAGAAGATTGAGATTGGACATCACGAAGAAATTCTTCCTGGAGAGGGTGGTGAGGCACTGGCACAGGTTGCCCAGAGAAGCTATGGATGCCCCATCCCTGGAAGTGTCCAAGGCCAGGCTGGATGAGGCCTGGAGCAACCTGGTCTAGTGGAAGGGGTCCCTGCCCATGGAGGGGGGGTTGGAACTGGATGATCTTTAAGGTCCCTTCCAACCCAAACCATTCTGGAATTCGCCAGTGACAAATTGTAATTTGGACCTTGAAGTAAAAATCTAGTTTCTTCTACCTTAACTTCAGAGAAAAGTTTAAGAAACAAAACCCTCCACTAAACACAGCCTAAAAGCTCACAGGCATGAAACAAAGGTAAAGCCTGCATAGTCTGTCTTGTCTGCCATTTCATCATTTGGGGTAAGCTATGAAATTACAGAAATGGGCTAATTGATTGGAACCAATACTGCACACTGTTTAAGTGTTTCTTATTTTTATCAGTGCATTTAAAGAATGCTGGAATACTAGAATCCAGTACAGTCATGAAGTTGAGAATGACTGGCTGATTTGGCTGGGAGCAAGTGAGCAGGATAGCAGTTATTGGCCTTTTATGTTCTCTGTGCTCCCAGCCAGCACTTCCTCTGTCTCGTTAGTAGTCCCAGACATTCCTGTGATGTTAAGGGTTTAAAAGCCACTAGCATGATCTTCCTAGCTATTCCTTGAGTGTGTAGAAATGGGCTGAAATGCTACGTATCTTTTGCCACTCTCAGCATGGGGAACAAACATCGGTGGCATTAAGCAAACGTGGTGAAACAGCAGTGCTCAGTGCCTGGAAGGCACATGCTCGTGATGCTTTTGCAGAGCTAGAGCAGAAAAAGTTCTGCTGTGATGGCCATCAAGCATACCAGGGCAGAGCACAAAGCAATATCCAGGAGAGCTTCACTCCAGAACTGTCATGGGAGTCAGCTGAAGGCCAGTGGCACAGCTTGGAGGGGTGGAGCTGGTGTGGAGCAAGGTTACTGAAGCCGCTTGTGAACTGGAGTGATTGTCATCTTCATGGCACACGACAGCATCATCTTTTGGTGGAACTAAGCTGCTGCAGTGGACGCTGCATCAGTGCTGCAGCTAGGATGTTTGTTAATGACAACAGTAGGAGGGAATCATCAGGCTCTTCACTTCCAAATCTGACCTTTCACCCTTCTTTCTGAATTCCAGGCTAAGGTGCTTCGGGAGACCAAGCCAATCCCAAATCTTATTTTTGCGGTAGAGCAATATGAGAAGTTTCTTATCCATCTCTCCAAGAAATCAAAGGTAATGCAAAGTAGAGCTCTTCTGTGACCTGAATTCAGTGGAGGACTATTGCTGTGCCACCTTACTCCTCAGATGAGGAAAGTGTAAGGACCTTACCACTCCAGCCTTTGCACAAGCTCCTGGCCAACACCACTGAACTGCTATCACTGGAGCAGCGGGTCTCAATGGCAGTACTGCCTGCGACCCAATACTACGGGGTTGCTGGCTGGCACAGCTCATGCCAGCTTTCCTCACCCCACTCTCCCTGTCTGTTGTACACAAAGTGTACCACGATGAGGTACTACACGAGAGTGAGCACCACTGGTAATCACTTGCCTGTTAGGAAAACATAAATGGGCCACTGGATTGCATGGGAGCAGGTGCATTTTCCGCCTGTCCATTGCTTCAGTCCTGCATCATTACTGGTCCCAGTGCTGTGTGAAGGATGAGGCACGGTAGAAAACCAAATGAAGGTGCTAATGGCATAACATACTCTTCCCCTGGTTTCGCTTTGGTTGCTGCAGGTGAACTTGATGCAATATATGAAACTAAGCACCTCCCGGGACTTCCGCATCAACGCGTCCATGCTAGACAGTGCCTTGCAGGAGCATAATGCAGAGGACGCTGAAAATGAGCCAGACAATGACCAGGTCAGAACTCATTTATCTGCAGTTACAGATGGGCTCTCTCTTTCTTGAGGCTGGCATTGTTTGTGAGCTGTTCAGGTGTGAAATTAAGACAGTGTCTTCCCTAGGTTAGTCCTCAGTTCAAGACTAAGCTGATACCAAGAAGGGAACAGTTAGTCTGGCTAACATCCCTTAGTCTCCAGCCCTCTGCCTGGAGTGACCTTTATGTCCATGCACCAGTTGGCTGTATCTCTGGTCTTAGGGAATTGAGACTGCTCTTAACTGTTTGCCTCAGCAAGCAGTCAAGTCTATCAGCATTACTGGCTGGCCAGGATCCAACCTTTGCAGCAAGAGGCAAAGGGGTTTTGCATCCAGGTTAACTTCTGTAGATGAATGGCTGGCAGGGCCAACTCTGCCAGGCATTGTTCTCCTCAGACCCATCTCCTCTACTGGATTGTGCTGGTGAAGGTAGCCGCAACCTGGGCTAGGTAAAAAAATAAACAATTTACTGTGCTGATTGTCCAGGTTTTTATTGATGCTTCTGTCCATATTTTCCTGAGTGTTTCAACAAGCTAATATCCAGCAAAAACAGTCCCTGTCCTGTGCCATTCCTAACCTGTGGCCTAAGTTCCAGCATGAACTGGGGGGGGGCATGAGGAAAGGCTCAGTGGGCGAGAGGAATCCCATATTCAGGTTATTTTGTTAGGTAGGGAGGAGCTAAATCCTGTTTTGCACATCTGGTTTCTTGCTTTAGTTAAACATTCATCAGCCTAATCACAAAAACAATCCCACTCTGAGCTGCTCTCTCCCTCCCCCTCCAGAGCAGTGCCGTAGAGCAGACAGACGAGTCCCAGGAACCCAAAAAGAAGAGACGGCGAAAAAAATGAGGCTGCTCCTGCTGCCTCCCCCGCGCAGTACCTGCTCGGTGGCAGGCTCGTCTCCACGCCACAGCTCTCCAAGACCAAGGCACCGGCTTATTGTTTCTTCCTCTGCGCCCACGGGCACGCAAGTGGCACCTCTGCCCCTGGCTCAGGTTTCGCAGCTGGCTGCTGCCCTCAGCAGCACCTCTGCTCTTTGAAGCTGCGATCATAATCTTCCCCAGGAACATCCCTTCTTACGGCACAAAGAAAGCGGTGTTCAGGATCAGTCCCTGCCAGACGATCTCCGGAAAGAAAGGACAGCCAGGCTCCGGCTCCCAACCTGGACAGCTGTCCTTCTGGCACTATGGCGTCATCATTTCTTCTCCAGCGAACCTTTGGTGATTTCAATCAGCTGATAGATATCCAGCGCTTCTCCTAGAAGGCAACGGGACAATTGGTTCCCTGCATTCCGCAGCACATTCGGACTGGGTAACGCGAGAGCAGCAGGCACGATTTGCTTCAGTTCAGAGTGTGTAGGACAAGAGGCTTCAAACTTCAGTTTTGGGCGCGGGGGGCGGGGTGCACACAGGAGACAGACCCAGAAAGAAGCCAGAAACACGAGCTGGAGTTGAAGCTGTGTGTGGCTCCCAACAAGCAGAAAGGTGACAGCTTCCTCGGGCAAGGCTGGGTTTTTGCTGATGTGCTTGTTTAATTTGCCTTGTTCTTGGTGAGCACACAGGTGCCCTTGTCTACGGAACACAAATCCTGCTTCTACTCACGCTCTTTGTCTGTAAGACAAATAATAAAGGCTCCACCTAAGTAAGGGTGGAGCCCCTGATGTATCCAGCAACCTGAGGGCAGGTTCTCCTCATGTGGGAAAGCACTGCTGCATGAGGGGGGAGGAGCTGTTTAAAGCAGCTCCCAGATGAGAGCTAAATGCTTGCAGCAGTTAGAGGGTTATACTGAGTGCAGGCCCTGGACTCCTCTGAACAGACCTGTGCTCAGCTCAAGGGGAGTGGGAGAGAGAGCACCAAAGGCTGGAAAAATTTGGGCCTGGAGGGCAAAACACGCAAGGGTGGTGAGGTGCCTCATTTCAGAAAGGGAACAATTCAGTCTTGGGCTGTGTTCAAAAGTGCATAGAGGGTTTCTCGCGGGGGGGCACAGAGCAAGCATGGGAGAACGGAGACAGGCCTGGCTTATCGCAGTCAGAAATAGTTGGAAGCAGCAGCACAAACTGCTCAGGGATTGAGAAAGGCAAGAGGGGCTGGCACCACGGTGGCGGCTGCCCTGAGGGGCAGGAAACAAGGGACTCCGGAGATGCCTCTGAGGAACTGAGGAGCCTGCTTAGGCAAGGACAGGGAGCTTAACTCGCACAGACACCACTCACCTTGAGGGATGCCATACTTCTTCTCCATCCCAGTTGGATTTGATGGCGTCACGCAGTTCATGGTCACCTCTTTCCTTAAGCACTGGTCAATGTCCACTGCGCTGAAGAAAGCCACTGACTGTGGCAGATCCTGCAGGCCCAGTTTGTAGGCAAACATGCACCTGGAAGAACAAGAGCCAAGGTGGGATGGTGCTACATGTCATGCCTGGCTCTGATCAGCCACAGCCGATGGGTTACTCGGCACCCACGGCACTCAGCCACTGGAAGACAAGGTGCAGTTAGGAGGGTCAAGTATTGCTTAAGTGGATGTGGGAGGAACCATAATGTTCTGTTAAGCTTCCTTGGGAGAAAGGAAGAGCCCAGCCCTTAACTGGTAGCTAATCTTCCCAGGCAGAGCAGACGCTGGATTTTCCCAGCAGGAAGCCCTGTGCTCACAGGAGCCAACACAATGGCACAAACATCAGGGTGCCTGCCCCCGCTGTTGGCTGTATCCCTGCGGCAGCGCAAGAGCAAACAGCTTGGCTTAGGCCAGCTCCTCTATCACCACGCGGCCCATGGCGCCAGGAAGGGGATTTGGCAAAGCTGGCGGTGCTGGAGCCAGACTGAAGGGAGCCCTTTGAGGTCAGGAGCTTTCTAGGCTTAGCTTGCCCTTGCATGGGGCAGGGAAGCGGCAGGAACACCCCGTGCTGTTGTAGGGGCAACAGTGCTGGTGCTCGCAGCAGAGATGATGAGCTGTGCCCCTCATTGTCCCCCAAAGGCAGGGAGGAGACAAGGGATGGAGACAGTTTCAGGCTCCCAGCTGCTCAATCGAGCCCAGGGACTGCTGCCACATGGTGGCTGCAGACCTGAAGGCAATGGGAGGCTATGTACTTCCATCCCAGCCAAGTGGAATGATTGGTCCCGGCAGGAGCCAAAAGCTGACACTATGCCCCTCTTGCCAGCACGTTATCCCTGGAAATCAAAGCTGAGCTCCATTTATAGCCACACAAATCACTTGTGAAGTAATTGCAAGGCCCAGCGCTGCCAACTTCCCTTGAGCCGAAGAGAACTCCGCACCAGCTTGCCACAGGCAAAGCCAATCCCTTTGCTGTCACCCAGTCCCTTGAGCTTGCCCGGTCCCAACCCAGCCATCCCATCTCACCGCGTGAGGAGGTTGGTGATCTGCAGGGCCAGGGCTGCCCGGTAGCGATCCTGCTGCTGGACCAGGTAGCGCACCTCATCGTGGATGCTGATGCAGAAGCGCCCATTTATGTCAAACTCCTCAAAGAGCCACTTCATGGCAACCAGCATGAGGTGCAGGTAGTCGACGGCCGAGCTCTGCACCACCCAGTTCACTCTGCTGGTCAGAAACTGGTGGAAGAAAAGACGGATGGTAGGGGAGCGTCAGCGTTCAGGGCTGTCCAATGCAGGACAGCTCCAGGGAGAAGCCTGGTAAATTCAGGGTGACTGGGTTTTCTTGATGGTGTGCAGGTGAAGAGGCAATGGGTTCACTGTGTGGCTCCAAGAGCCTTCTGGGTCTCCAACATCCAAGGACTCAACCTGGGGGTGCCATTTTGGAGAAGACAAGCAAAGCCAAGAACTCGGCAGCACAGCACCGTGTCCTTACCTCCCCCTTGGCCACGGCGGGCTCCAGGGCCCTGCTGATGTGACAGCCCAGCACTGGGGTCTGTGGGGATGGGGATAAGGCGATGCTCTCCAGCTTGTTGAACATTTCAGACTCGGTGCCTCCAGCCCACACTCTGTGCTCCACCACATCCCACTTCTTCCTCTGGGACCTGGCCGGACAGAGAAGTTTGTGGGATGAACCTGCGGGCCTTGTTTAAGAACCTCAAATGTTCGCTCCTGGTTTGGATCAGCCAGACAAGCCCCTGCAGCTTTCTGGGATAGACTGGGAGCCCCCAGATCAAATGGACTCAGCCCTGGAACAGCAGGGAGGGAGTACTAGGACCATCCAGCCCCATCTCCCTTCTCTGCCTGCTGCCAGCAGGGCTGCAGCTCCCTTTGCCTCACACCCCAGTGCCACCACAGCCACGCGGGGTCAGAGCATCTCACCTTTTCGAGGCTTCTCTCTGGAGCCGCTGAACATCCTGAGCCAACACCGACCCATCCTCTGCCCTGTCCACAGCCAGGTTCAGCTCCCTCAACAGCCACTCACCCTCCTCGGAGAGATGAAACCTGGGAGGGAGAGTGACCAGGTCCCTGGGGACACCACCACCATCCCTGTCCCTGCTCCCCCTCCATCTCCCCAGGCAGCACCCACCTCCGGACACCCTTGGTGACCGCGTACATCTGCTGAGCCTTTTCACGCGCCTGCTGCTGCGTCAGCCGATGGTTGAACTGCATCAGCAGCCGCTCGGCGAAGGGCTGCCCAGCCCCATAGATGCGCCCATAGTTGAAGACTTTGGCGTGCTCCCGGCTGATGCCCACCGTGGCGGCCGTCTTGCTGTGCAGGTCTGTCCCGTTGCTCTTCTTCCCCTGCAGCGTCATCCAGCCGAAGGCTGTGCAGCCTACCAGGACAGAAACAGGGATTGGACATCCATCAGGACTGGGCTCAGGGTGGGGGGTCACCCTACTACCCAGCAGAGCGACTCCCTGCGGCACAGCCCTCACTCACCATGCATGCCAGCAAAGTGCGCCTCGCCAAGGATGGCAGCTATCCAGAGCTCCTGGGAGTCCACATCTGCGCCCACCAGTGAGTAGCCAGGCGGCACCTGGACCATGGCTTTCAGCTCGCTGCCCACCCGGTCAGCCTGCGGGACAGATGCTCAGCTCTGTGCAAGCCATGCACCTCCTTCTCCTCAGAGGCACAGGAGCAGCCTTCCTCCTGCTGCCATGGCATACAAGCACAGCACTCCCCCCGCCCTGAACTCCGCTCTGAAAGTGTCAAAACCGGTGTAACGCACACACAGTGTGCCGATGCTTGGCTACTTCCAGGCTCCTCCAGCATGGAAGAACAGGAGCTTGGGGAAGGACAGAAAACAGTGCTTCAGTGTTTTCTTCTCCTCTCACCAACCTTGAAGCTCAGGAGCCTCTGCTGACTACTGCCCCTCTCCCCAGGTCAAAACACATGAGCAAGAGAAGGGCCTCAGCACCAGCCCTGCCACCTCAAACCCCAGCATCCAGCCCCGACTCCTATTTCCAACCCAGGCTGCTCCCCCCAGTCCAACACACACAGAGGGTGCCCCAAAACACCCCCGCGAGGACCCGAGTGCAGCCGTACCCGGGCATTGCTGGCTGTCAGCCAGGTGGGCTCCACCGCCCGGCGGGTGATGGTGCCAGCCGTCACCACCTGCGGCAGGATAGCTCCATAGTCGTCCTCCTCGTTATAGTCGGCGTGCCTGGGAGAGAGGCAAGGGTGAGCATCATCCTGCCAGAGTCCTCCCAGCACACCGCAGAAGAGATCGTGGTCCCAGCTGGGGACGTTCCTCCTCGTACCTGGTCACTGCGCGAGGCAGCTCCCCTTTCTTCAGCCAAACCACCATCTGGGAACTGGGGGGGACAAGCAGCAGGCAACATGCTGAGCCCTCCACTTCCACACCACCTTCCTCGGCCGCAATGCAACCTCTACCCGCAGGGATGTCGCGACTCAGCTGAAGGCAGCTGCTCACCTGATCCGCTTGTGAGCGTTCCTCCAAAATGA